TGATCCCTAAAGGTCCCTTCCCACCCAAAGCATTCTGTGATGAATCTATGACCTGAGGGTGTTCTCGGCAGCTCTGCCACGATCGGGGCTACCTGGTGACCCAGGACGAGCTGGACCAGACGCTGGAGGAGTTCAAAGCGCAGTTTGGGGACAAGCCCAGCGAGGGCCGGCCCCGGCGCACGGACCTGACGGTGCTGGTGGCTCACAACGACGATCCCACCGACCAGATGTTTGTCTTCTTCCCGGGTGAGCAGAGCCAGCAGCGGGGGGGGCTGCAGTTACCTGGACTGGACCGTGTTGCCTCTGCCCGGCGTGGTCAGAAGTGGGGCGGGAGGGCCAGGCTTCGCCTTCGTTTTGCATTCGAAAAACAGGCAGACGTGGCACTTTGGGACATGGTTTAGTGGGCATGGGGGTGTTGGGTTGATGGTTGGGCTGATGATCTTAGAGGTCTTTTCCAACCTTAGTGATTCCTAGTTTTACTTTCATTAAAAAATAATCCAGCCAGCAAGCCAGGAAACATGAAATTATGACTCTGCCCTTGATTGTTTTAGTGGTGGACTTGGTAGTGTTAGGTTATGGTTGGACTGGATGATCTTAAAGGTATTTTCCAACATAAACGATTCGATGATTCTGTGATTCTGGCAGGGTTAACGGGGCAAGGGAGGGCTCTTCGTAACCCTGGGTCTGATTCCTTTCCCAGAAGAGCCCAAGGTTGGAATAAAGACGATCAAGATGTACTGCCAGAGGATGCAGGAGGAGAACATCACCAGAGCGCTGATCGTGGTGCAGCAAGGCATGACCCCCTCGGCAAAGCAGGTACAACGTACTGTAAAAGAAGGCTGCCTCAGAGCCAGGGTGATTGCGGACCGTGGATGTCCTGCTCGTCTGTTTTTCGGTGCTGCTTTAGGTTAATAAAAGCCTAGAATTTCCTTCCAGATAAAATCTCTCGGTAAAGCCTGTTGTACCTTAATACAGGCTCTCGGTTAATGTGCAGGTGTATTTAACCAGAGCAACTGGTTCTGGTTCCAGAAGAACAGCTGATGGCCCCTCAGTAGTCAGGAAGTTGATGAGAGAAAAGAGGATTTTTGCCAGCGGTCAAGAGATCTGTGCGCTCTTTGTCTGCGTAGCTGTATCTGTGTGAGCGCGAGTGTCATGATTCCACATTCGCAGCGACCAGTGTCTATCGAGGAGCAGGTCTGAGTGCAGGCAGGGATGTCCCGGAGCAGTGCTGCAGTCTGACAGACCTTTTCCTTTTCAGTCCCTGGTAGATATGGCTCCTAAATACATCCTGGAGCAGTTCCTGCAGCAAGAGCTTCTGATCAACATCACAGAACACGAGGTGAGCGGTATTGGGCAGTGGAGCGAGGGCAGGATGATCGGTCTTTTGTGCCGAGCTGCAGCTCAGGCTGCTCCCAGAGACCTCTCGGTTGGAAGGCTGGGATGAGTGACGCAGTTGTAGTTTTCTTCCTTACAAATGCATTGCTTCTCCCGCTGCCGTGAGGAGCCAGTCGCTCTCTCGGGATTTCTAATCTTACAGCCTCTCTCCCCTGTTGTTTACAGTTGGTCCCAGAGCACGTCGTCATGACAAAGGAAGAAGTAACTGAGCTACTGGCCAGATAGTATCCTTTGTTTGTTCCTTCCCTTCCTGCCTGGGTGTGATGCATACTTACTTTGGACTGAAAATGAATACATCCGCATGTGATGGTTTATTACTTTGTTCCGTGAGCCATGCTAACGAACGGGCACCCGGGCCACTTGCGTGTTCTGTGGGGGAGCTTCTCCTTGACTCCCTGTGCAGTAAACTGAGAGAGAACCAGCTCCCGAGGATACAGGCCGGGGATCCTGTGGCCCGGTACTTCGGAATAAAGCGTGGTCAGGTAAGAGTTAGGGATGGGCTCAAGCTGCGTCAGGGGAGGTTTAGATTGGATATTAGGAAAAATTTCTTCACGGAAGGGGTAGTCAAGCATTGGAACAGGCTGCCCAGAGAGGTGGGGGAGTCCCCATCCCTGGAAGTGTTCAAAAGACGGGCAGAGGTGGCACCTGGGGACATGGTTTAGTGGGCATGGGGGTGTTGGGTTGATGGTTGGGCTGATGATCTTAGAGATCCTTTCCAACCTTAATGATTCCTAGTTTTTACTCTCATTAAAAATAATCCAACCACCAAGCCGGGAAACACGAAATTGCTACTCTCCCCTTAATTGGTGTAGTGGTGGACTTGGTAGTGTTAGGTTAATGGTTGGACTGGATGATCTTAAAGGGCTTTTCCAACCTAAACAGTTCTATAATTCTAAGAGAGAAGTACACTCGGGCAGCAGTTCCCCGTGGGCAGGCCAAGGAGCTGAGGTCCTCTGCGGTATTTCAGCACTCTTGGTGGCAGGAAAGGCATCTCTTCCAAACGTAAAAGCTGTTGTAGGTTAGGTACGGGTGTGTGTAAGCCAGGCAGACTTCCTGCTAGGAGACAGCAGTCTCGGCTGCCTGCGGAATTGGCTGGTAAGAGCCAGCAGATGCGATGCCAATGCCACGCTCTGTGATCTCCCCCTACGCTGGCAGCGGCACTTCCACG